CATTGTGTCTGCTAGCTCTCGCCCGGCTCAATTATTTGAGACAATCTCTTATATCCCTCTCTGAGAGGACCCAGAATATTAGTAATTTGGCAATAAGCTGTGTGGCATTTGCAATCTTTTTTGCAGAAAAAGTCGTGTTTCTCTGCCATGACCTCCCAGCCAGTTTTGATACAATATGAGAATTGGAGGCCCTTGACCACCTCTGGATTCAGTCTTTAACACCTTCAGCCAGCTCTCCTGAACTGATGTTGACAGGATTCTGGGTACTGTTAAGCTGACCACTTGCCTGTTAGACCCGTGGCCCCTCATGCTTGGTGAAGGTCAGTTGTGAGGGGCTACGAGGTTCCCTGGAAAATATTATCAATCTGCCCCTGGGCTCAGGGTTCTTTCCAATGGGACTGAAGGAAGCAGTGATTGTCCCACTCTTAAAAAGACCAACTTTAGACCCTATGGATTTGGCCAATTACTGCCCAGACTCGTCACTCGAATCTCCCGTTTCTGGGTAAGGTAATTGAGAGAGCAGCAGAACAGCTCCAGCAATTCCTGGATGACACATCGGTGTTGGACCCATTCCAGTCCGGCTTCTCCCCTGGCCATGGAATGGAGGCAGCATTGGTTGCCCTCACAGACGATATCCACAGGCAGCTGGACCGAGGCAGGTCAGTGCTGCTGATACTTCTCGACCTTACAGCAGCATTTGGCATAGTCTATTATCTGCTGACTTGGCTGAGGGCCTGGAGACCGTAGTTGGATGGCTAAGGCAGTGCGGGGAGGGCGGGGTATAAATGAAATAAATAAATAAATCAGTTGAAACTTAATCCGGGTAAGATGGAGGTTCTGTGACTGGGTGGGGGCGGGCCACAATTTGGCTGCCAATTCCTGGCTCTTGATGGAGTGCCCCTTTCACCAGCACCAACCATCAAGAGCCTCAGTGTGACTCTGGATTGCCACCTTGTCAATGGAGGCCCAAGTTGTGAAGGTTGCCGGGTTGGCATTTTTCCAACTGGGCCAGGTTTGGCAACTGGCTCCCTACCTGTCTCACCTTGGCCTAGCCATGGTAATCCATGCAATGGTCATCTCCAGGATAGACTACTGTAATTTGCTTTATGGGGGCCTTCCCTTGAGGTTGACCCGGAAGCACCAACTGGTCCAGAATGCAGCCACATGGGTCTTCACTGGGACTCCTTGGATGACACACATCCAACCACTGGAGCACTGGATCAAGTTCAAGGTGCTGGTCTTGACCTTTAAGGCCCTTAGCGGTCAGGGACCCATATACCTTCGGGGCCGCCTCTCTCAGTATGCCCCCAGCAGAGCATTCCATTCCAGCAGTAAAAACCTCCCGGCGGTCCCTGGCCCAAGAGAGATCTGGCTATCCTCAACCAGGGCCAGGGCTTTTTTTCCCCCGGACCCCACCTGGTAGAACTCCCTGCTGGAGAACATTCGTGTCCTGTGGGATCTATTACCTTTCTGCAGGACTTGTAAGGCAGAGATGTTCCACCAGGCTTTTGGTTGAGGACTGTGACAGGACAGCAACTAATCTGGCACTCTTATACATCCTACCACCCCTCACCTACCCCCTTAGGAGGCTATGGGTATTTTATTATGGTTTTAACTTACTCTAAATTTTCTATTGTTCTTATCCTGTTGTGAACCACCCTGAGGCAGGCCTGCCTGCAGGGAAAGTCAGTCTAAAAGTCTCAATTAATAAGTAAATAATAAATAAATTGTGTACCTGGAAGTACAGTTTGTTAAAGTCCACAGAACACAGTTGTAGAGTAAATGTGTTCATGATTAAAATGTTGGCAACTGCCTCTGTTGGGAGAACAGTGAGGTTACACCATTCCCCCATGTGACTGGATTGTATCAAATTAAAGTGTAAAATCATTTGAATTTTGCTGTATTTGTGCTGTAATTTCTGTATAATACAGTATTTTTCTCCATGCATGTCTGTTATTGTGTTGGTTTCATTCTGCTTGTACACACGATCACTCTTTAGCATATGCTTAACCATAGACTGGTTTCCTTATTCATGCACAGATTTATGTGTCTAAATTAAAATATATGTGCTCCTTTATGTGTGGAAGAGTAATTTTAATCTGTGCTCTTTTATGTGACCTATTCATCGCAAAGTTTCTTTTACATGTCTCTTCCTTGGTTGCTTCTAATTTGTAATGCACCCAAATTCTTCAGACTTCTGATTTCCGATTGCCAGAAGTTGGTTTCTAGAATCAAAATGTTAACCATTGGTACATTATATCAGATATAAATAACTAGTCAGACGTTCATCAGTCCTACACTCCATGATTGACCTTGAACTCCCCTGCCATGCTTGCTGCCTTTTAGTCCTGTCTTGGTGGTTGATATGTTCTGATGTCACAGTGGTCTTAACCATTCAGATTAGTTTTAGTCCTTCTGGCTGCCATTTGCTTACCTGCTCTGATGTCATAAAGAGGTTTACAAGCCTTAGTCTTTCCTTAGGGGTAGGGGCTTTGAGGCCATATATAACAAGAGTTCTAAGATCCATAAACAACCTGTCAGAAATTTCAGTGGGCTTTCAAATGATGACTTAACTGGTACAGATCACTAAAGTTGTCTTTGAGCCTTTCTGGGGAAAACAGAAGCATACCTCATACTTACGTATGCACAAATACACACACGTATGCACAAATACACACAGCTGTCTCTGTACAACCTAAATAAGGTTGTATGGAACTTGACTGGAAAACCTGGCAGCTCTGGATTACATAGGGTTGCCAAGTCTGGTTTGGAAAATACCTGGAGACTTTGGGGGTGGAGCCAGGAGAGGGCGGGGTTTGGGGAGGGGAGGGGCCTCAGCACAGTACAATGCCATTGAGTTCACCCTCCAAAGCAGCCATTTTCTCCAGGGGAGCTGATCTCTTTCGGCTGGGGATCAGTTGTAAAAGCGGGAGATCCCCAGGCCCCACCTGGAGGCTGGCAACCCTAGGATTACAGAAGCTAGAATCTTTTTAACTGAAATTAATTTAAGTGGGAATAGTTTCAGAATTTGGACAAATGAGGCCGCTTTCCAGGTTAAACCAGGACAACAGAAATTGAGTACTCACAAAGCAGTGCATTGTATTTTTTCTTTTTATGTATGTATTTAGAGAATTTGTAGGCTCCTTTTCCAGACCTGCTCAAGGTGGCTCACAGTTAAGACAAGAAGAACAAATAAATCAATAAAACCATTATCAATAAAACAGCCAGTAAAAGCAAGCCAGATATAAAAGCACTTAAAACAGAGCAATCTTAAATAACATTGATAATTTTGCTTTGATGAGTGTGAAATCTGCCTGTTAACGTCTTGTCTCAGCATAAGCCCTATAAAAGTTCCTATTTTGTTGTGAGCCCTATATTGGGCTCAAGGTAACGATTGTTTCCTAAAATGCTCTGGTTGCCTTGTATCAGGTATCTCGGGGAGGGGCTAATATTTTTATGGGCTGGGTGTGAAGAAATTGTCTCACTCATTAATATCCAAGATGAAACATCAGAAAAGCAGGACATTCAGGATTCAAAAATGTATAATTTAGGTGTAATGCAGTGCTCTTCGTCCCATTTCCAGGATCTTTAAAAGTATGTAATTGTAAGGGCTATCTTGAAAGAGGACCCTTATAGGTCAATACGGTTTAAGACTGTGTTTGGGAAACTCCTGGCTCTCAATGTTAACTTGGATACCGTCCAGGATCTGGGCCTTCATGCAGCATTTGCTTTGGTGAGAAGTTGTGTAAAACTAATTGATCACCAAAGTTGTTTTTAGTTTCAGGCACCAGCTTGTTCATCCCAATTTTTTTGTATTCCCCCACCAAAATCTCTTCCTTCCTATACCTATCTGTTGACTTCCCAAAGCCTTTTAAGAGCGTTCATTCTGGCCAGATTAAATGCCCACTCCTCGGCAGTTATGAGTGGGAGGATTCATACATTTACCTTATTCAGAATGAATCTGCCCCTTTCCCATGGGTAAGATCAACATGATTGCACATATCCTTTTGGAGTGTCCTTTGTTCAAAATTGATGTATCATAGCACTTTTATTGGATAAAAGGAAAGGAAAGGAAAAAGAAAAGTATGTAATTTGTTCACTGGGTTAATATGTTAAAAGAACTAAAGATGTGGATTTATTTTTTAAAAGCATCTGATTTTCTTCCTTGCTGCTGACTACCAGTGTATGGTTAGATTACTTAACACCTGCTGTGCTTTCCCCCAAACTAGAGTTGCCATTCCCCAGGTCCGGGCAGGAAATCGCCCAGTTTTGGAGGCTTCTGCCCACTGCCCCCAAACAGCGACGTCACTGAGTGATGTCCCTGATGCAATGACACCACCCAGAAGTGTCATCATTGTGTCGGGGACATGACGCGGCAACGTTCAGGGTTTTAGGCAAAACTCTATGGTTTGAGGGCAGTTTTACCATAGAGTTTTGCCCTCAAACCAGAGTGTTGTTGTGAGACGTCCCTGACGTGATGATGTTACTTCCATGTGACGTTGTGTAGCCCTGCCCCACTCCTGGAAGGCTCCCTCACGCACCCCCACCAGCACGTCGATGAAACCTGGCAACCCTACCTCGAACACCTTCCTGTCTCAACCTCTAATCTTCATGCTTGCCTTTTGTTTAAGAAAGCAAGCTTAAATTCGCTTACATTGTCAGCTAAAGCCCATTTGATTTGGTGGAGCTTGGACATGAGGATCTGTTTATTTTAGATGGCTGTTAACATGGACATCTTCCTTGGACAGTAAGCCCTCTAGGCTCCGAAATGCGCCACTTCTGTATGCAGCCTAACACACTGATGCCTACATAGCTGTTAATGGTAGTTCTTGATTTTTGTCTCATTGGTTCCACTAACAGATGGAAAAACACATAAACAATGCAATCCAGTGAAGACTGGAAAATGATACAGATATTTTTAGAAGCCACAGTATTTTTACTAAAGATATTTTTGTATTGCATTACATTTGTCATGTGAAATAACTTTGTATCTTCCTCAGGCAAATGAAATGTTGTTCAGTGGAAGGAAACTGACTGCACAAGAGGCATGCGCAAAAGGACTGGTGTCTCAAGTTTTTTGGCCCGGAACATTCACCCAGGAAGTCATGGTTCGAATTAAGGAACTTGTCACTTGTAATTCAGTTGTAAGTTTTGTTTTTTTCTCCACTTCGATTTCACACAGGGCTGAGTAGAAAGTTCTCCTTACAGTGACTGCCTTGTACCGGGGTGGGTGGGTGTATTTTCCGTACACATGAGCAGCAGTACAGAGCCCTCAGTGCACAAAGAGTTCGGTGTAAAATGCGCTGCGCATAGATACAGCCAGAAGTAATTTCCAAAATGGCACAATTTAGCATGAGCACAAGGTTTGCTTGGTAATATCTATGTACCACCTTTTTCATGCTTCTGTCTACACATGATGCTCTGCCATGTGAATATTTCCCCGGGTTTGGGGGGGGGGGCATAGGTACACGGAGCAGTTGCTGGAAGATGCAACCTGGATGGGAAGTTTATGTTTGGAGGGCAGAGGGGAGAACTAATGTCATTTCTTTTTTTTTGGTAAACAAATTTTTTATTTTCTCAGGAATACAACATATAAAACTTTTCATTCTATCAATTGTCTACCCCATCCCCAGTTCCTCCCCTCCCTCCAATGGCTTCCCACAATGCTTCCACCCCTGCTCCAAATTACTTCATATCATCAACAATATCAGTTTCTCATCATTACAATCTAAAGATAACATCATTTGACTTAATATTGATCTAAACATATTAAGTTTTGTTTCACATCCCAGTTCTTTTCCAGATAAATTTTAAAGTCATTCCATTCTCCAAAAAACTCATCGTCTTCTTTGTTATTCAGTTTTTTTGTAATCTTATCCATTTGTGCCATGAACAGAACTTTTTGTATCCATTCTTCAACCTCTGGTACCTTTTCTGTCTTCCAAAACTGAGCATAAATCATTCTCGCTGTCACTATCAGGTACCAGAGTAAAGTCTTTTTAGTCGTATTGACTTCTTCCATTTTAAGTCCCAAAAGCAGAATTTCCGGTGCTTTTTTAAAAGAACATTTCTATTTAAATTTTGTTGAAAGAATTGTTTCGTTTCTTCCTTTAACATCTCAATTACCGTTTTCTTATCCAACAAGTCTTCATTAATCCTCCACAGAAAGGGTTTTTTCCTTTCTGTGGAACTCCATACCACCGGATTGTGATCTGAATTACATCTTGGCAAAATTTCAGTCTTATGTGTTTTCATTGATAATTCTTCAGACATCCAAATCATATCAATTCTGGAAAAAGAGCAATGTCTATTGGAATAAAAAGTAAAGTCTTTCTGCATCGGGTTCCATTTCCTCCAAACATCTTCTAATTTTTCTTGCTTAACTAATTCAAAAAAATTCTTTGGCAATTTTCCGCTGAATTCGTTGTCCTTTTGTGGTTTTCTGTCTAGACGATCTATTGTCCCATTAAAGTCTCCGGCCATAATAACTTGCTCATAAGTCAATTGTTGTAATTGGTCAGTTATATCCTTAAAAAATTTTTCCTTTGCTCCATTGGGTGCGTACACGTTGATCAACAATGTTTTTTTCTGCTGAATCATTAATTCCACACCCACGTATCTGCCATCTATGTCCTTAAAAATTTCTGTAGGTTGTAACTCCTTCTTCACATATGTCACAACTCCTTTTTTCTTGTTTGAGGCCGCAGAACAAAATTCAATTCCAAATAAAGCATTCTTTAAATATTTTATATCCTGTTTTCTAATATGTGTTTCTTGCAAGCATATCACGTTGCATTTCTGTTTCTGTATCCAATGATTGATTCTTTTCCTCTTGTTTGGTGAATTTAATCCATTAACATTCCATGACAACAATTTGTACTCCATTATGCGTTTTATTTTAAAGTTCTCCAAAGACGTCCGCATTGTCCGCCTTAAATTTATAAAAGTCCATCATCGATCTGATCTGAATCCTCACCCCTTGATACGTAAAGGATAAACCTTGTGGAATCTCCCATCTATATCTGATGCTCAAAGCTCTGAGTTTGTCAGCCAAGGATTTATACCTTTTCCTGTCTTGCAGTATTGTTCTTGGGAGTTCTCTCATCACCATAATTTTGTTTCCCTCTATTACAAAAGGGACGTTGAATTGCTTCTTGAATATCTCCTCTGTTATTGATCTTGTTACAAATTGTACAATTACATCCCTTGGTAAATTCTTCTTTTCTGCAATTCTGGAGTTCACTCTATAAATCAAATCAAAGTCTGAGTCCATTGACCCTTCTTCCTCGCCCAAAAAAGCCGTTATCACTTCCATCATTTTTTCTTTTAAATTCTCATTCTCTGTTTCCTTAATGCCTCTGAATCTCAGATGAGTCTGCATCCTTCTGAACTCCATCATTGTCTCTGATCTTGTAATTTGTTGAGTCAAAGAATCTTGTTTCTCTTCTATTTTTTGTATCTTCTCCTCTGTCTCTGTAGTCTTGGTTGCATTTGCTTGAACATCCTTCTTAACTCCTTCCATTTCTTGCTTGATTGAAGTTATTTCTGTAGTAACCAGTTCCTTCAATGCTGTTATATTCTTCTCCTGGACTTCTTCTAGATGTTTCAGATGAATCTGAGTTTGCTTCTCCAGTTGGTCCCCCAATGTTTTTTCTATCTGCTCCCCCATGGCTTGTATTGCCTCTGTCATTCTCTTCTCCATTGCTTCCCTGGAGGCCTGCATCTCTTTTTTCTCTCTTCCCCTTGACATTTTGGGGGTTGAAGTAGATCCAATCCTAGGTCTCACAACTGGTTTAAGTTCTGGGTCTGAGTCGGCTCTTTTCTTGCCTCTCCTGGTCTCCGTCTTGGCGATTTCTTTTCAATTCACAGATTCGCAAGATAAAGCACTCTTCTAGATGATAAGATTTAGTCCTCCATGCCTCTCTGTTTACGCTTTCCAAAGACCCTTAGAAATATATTAAAAAAGCAAATTTAGTTGAAGTCCTCCTCAAAATGTCGGGCGCAACTTCTCTATGGTAATTTCATGTAGAGTAGGTCAAATTGATACTTTGCAGGCCCTTCCTTCCGCATACAACTCACTTCCGGTCCGGCACCTTTAAAAGTTCCACTGTCTTCCTTTCGCTAATGCCCGTCTAGGAATTCAACTTCCTGGATGTTTCACACGGACCTCTTTCTTTGTGACACCAGCCTGCTCTTCCCACGCTATTGTTCGTGAGTTTCGATTTTACAGTTGCGCACACGGCTCCATCTTCACCACAGGAATGTTAAACAATAAGCGTTTTTACAGTTTTTAAAGGCTTCAATCAACTTTTTTTCTCTCCGGAATCGGATTTCTGGGATTTACTATTCATTTTCCGCTCAACCGCTTAATTCAAATTGACTCCAAACTCAGTTCAGGTAAGCGGCACGTTTTTGTTATCTAGCACGTTCAAAACGGGTTTCGCATTGTTTCTTTTAACTCACAGTTGTTGTCCTTCTTCAAAGAAGTCTGCTGACGAAGAATTTATGCCGGTAGCCCGGCTCGATCGGCCACTATAGAGTTGCTTGGCACTTGCCTTCTTCGTGGGAGGAGGTCAAAGCCCAATTCAGCTTCTTCCGAAGCTGGATTACGCCAACCTCACACTCCCTCTAGGGCGCTGCTGCCTGCTTGTCCCCCCCCCTCGCTGGGGAGTGATGCGTTGGGCTGTATATTGCCCAAACTGTCAAAAGTGGCCGTCGCTCGCTTCGCACGAGTGCGAAACGCTTCAGTCCTCCATCTTAGCTAGACCGGAAGCCACTGTTTTTATTGTTATAATTGTTGGGTTGGCCTTTTCCCTTATGAGCTTTTTTCATTCGGGGGGGGGAGGGACAATATGGAAGGGAAATTTTTGAAAGAAACATGGTCCTGTGAATATAGATGTTAATGAACTTCCAGTCCAAATTGCAGCTTCCAACAACTGCATTGGATTGTTGTTTTAAAAAGCTTAGAGAAAACAAACACAAACTTGAGTGACTGTCATGTGGGGGGTTTTTTACTTGAAATATGTGCCCAGGCATGAGTTGGCTTGCAATTTCTGTTTAAGTGCCACGGATCACTGCTCTGCTAAGTGGAGCTAAATATATTTAGCCAAAATATTATTCTGTTCCAAATTATGGAAAGAAGAGTGGGTCTGTCTGTCTGAGAAAATCACTTTGATACCTGAAAAATGTTTGAGGCTCTGGATATTTAGGTTTTTTTCTTGGCAAGGCAGAACAAAACACAAAAAAGCCCTTCTGCCATCATGTCGAAAAACTATATGTGAAGTTTAACACATGCTGGATGCTGTTTTTGTCAGCGTTGTGTATCCTGCTTCTCCTCAATGGAGCCCTAAGCGTTATAAAATAATTACTGCATTACATAATCATTACTGATAACATTTTAAAGTGCTGATGCACCTGGCCGGCAGCACAGATAAGTCATTAAACAGAACAAATAAGCAGGTGAAAATATACCAAAAGTATTTAGCACTTTGGACTACAGTCTGCAAATCACATTTCATGGCTGCAGTAGTCTTTTGGAGCAATTCCATAGAGAGCGATCTATGAGATTGCAACAGAACACTTCAGTTACAGATTGCTGCTTCAACAACTGTTGACATTATTTTCTCTTTATATTTAGTGCATCGCTTTTTCATTAGAAAAGGATGCTTATATAACCAAATATGCCAAGCGGCTAGGTAGCCTGACCTCAAAGCAGTGACACAGCACTGTATCGACATAAGCCAAGTTAAAGCATCAACAGTACACTAAATGGCCCTGACCTGGATAGCCCAGGCAAGCCCAGTCTCATCAGAACTCGGAGGCTGCTAAGCAGGGCTGACTGGCAATTACTTGGATGGGAGGCCTCCTTGGAATACCAGAGCTGGGAGGCGGGGGCAGGCTTTATTCAGCCACTTCTCTGAATATCCTCCGGGCCCCCAGTAGGGGTCAGTCACCAGAGGTTGCCATGACTTCCAGGTACTCACATGCACACACACATGCACATATGAAAAATACAAAAAACTACCCCCAAAAATAGTACACTTAATGGAGACAGTCACTGTGGGGAACAATTTAAAGCTATCTTTACATTTAGACCACAGTATATTTTTGTACCAACCTTAGTGACAGCTGGGAATGTTCAAGAGCTGTGAATTTTTTTAACACCTAGGGGAAGAATCATGCTTTTCCGAGTAGTGAAATATTATGGCTTAAGTGGGGGGGGGAGTGGTTTTTCCACAAAACAAAAGGACAATTTGGGGAGGAAAACACCTAGACCTTGTACACCGTCTGCACAGTCGTATTTTTAAATGATTGGGAAGACCCCCTGAGTTCGAACATTCATGCAGTCAAAACGTTGAGAATGGTACATTATCAGTCACACTTTCAGAGAGCTTCTGCCTGTTCAAGCAGGTGTTTACCATGCCTGCTCTAGCATGACTGAGAAGCAGATACCTGGGCAGGGCTATGCAGAGAAGGGCTCACTTGATTGGGCCCCACTGAATTCTGTGGGATGGAGTCGATGGAATGCAGTGTTGGGCACAGCTGAGAAGGAACACGGTTGGTTCTCACGCTAGTCAGTGGGATCACCAGAGACAGATTTAGTTCCCACCCCAACATACGTATGTTCATTTTTTCAGTGTGGCAATGAATGGGAGGCATTATGTAGGAGAAAGTACAAGACTGCATTTGGGGGGACAACGTTCTTGTGTGGTGGCTTGACTCCACTTACTGGATCCCACAGAGGGGTTTAATTTCTCTCTCTCTGCACAAGAGAAGAGCCCTGGAAATCATTGCTGTAGAGTTCCTCCCACCCCCTCATCACTATGGGAATTTCTCTGGCCCCTAGATTCCAGAGTTTCTATCTTTTTCTCCCAAATGCTGCCCCCTTCCTAGCATGTCCAAGAAATGGAATGCAGGATGCAGCTTTGTAGATAGGAATAGGTTTGATCTTTAATGGCAGGTGTTCCCAGGGGCTAGGAACAGGTATAACAGTGATGTCACTGAGTGTGCCCCTTAATTGCTCCTTATATACTAAGGGCTGCCATTTATTCCTGTAGAATAAAGTGCTGCACATGGACTCTGTAGCAGAAAGAGTAACCCCTGCCCTCAATCTGTGATACTGATTGGCCTGCTTTTACTGACGGGGCCTTCGGGGGCATGCGATGTATCTCTGTGCCCAGAGTGCACAGTTGATCTGCATTTCTCTCCTCCCCTTCACCACCAAGCTAGATATGCAAGCTCTTCCTATTGCACATACCTCATCCATCCTTGTGCGTGATCGAGACCTCTGTGTCACAAATAGACACAGGGAAGGGAAGAATGCAGGGGAGAAGGGAAGGGAAGAATGCAGTCTTCACTGATTTCGCCTTTCCACTGCAAACTTTTATGCTATTCTCAAGGGCCCCCTGACCCTCAGGAATGTCTTGGAGGGAGAGGCTACAACAGTAGTCCTCAGCACAGTGTCCAGAGTTGTCATGGTGCTCACTGGTGTGTTTTCCGGCACTGAGTTGCTCTTCTCCCAGATCTTTTTCCTCACAGCCAAGAGTCTGCTCTGGCTTTTCTTTACTTCCCTGGAGTTTAGGAGGTACTTCAGAAGAGCCTTTGTGTCTGCAAGTTGCATTCATTAGGAAAGAGCTGTCTCCATTGTAGGAGTAGAAAAGAGTAAGAGTCCAGTAGCACCTTTAAAGACTAACAAAAAGTAAGAGCCCAGTAGCACCTTAAAAAGCTAACAAAATTCGTGCCATTCTAGCTGTATCTGAAGAAGTGCACAGTGACTCACAAAAGCTCATACCCTACCATGAATTTTGACAGTCTTGCTAGACTGAAGTGAAGACTGCACTCTTACTCTTTTCTACTCCTACAATGGAGACAGCTCTTTTTGTGGTGGCATCTACTCTCTCAGAATTCCAAAAGTGGCCACAGGCTGAACTAGATTGGAGACTCTTAGATTACAGTATATGAGGTGAAGGAGAGTAGAGGTTTGTGACACAGGCAGGTCTCCTCTTGTGCATTTTTCTCATACTTTATAAAATACTGTTTGTGTGTTTTCATTTTGATTTTTCTTTTTAATGCAGGTACTTGAAGAATCCAAAGGTTTAGTTCGTAATCTAATGAAGGGGGATTTAGAACAAGCAAATGATAAGGAGTGTGAAGTTTTAAAGAAAATTTGGGGATCGGCTCAAGGGATGGACTCAATGTTAAAATACTTGCAGAGGAAGATTGATGAATTTTGAAGAGATGTGCATTGACACTGGAATTGTATTTACTTGGACATCTGGATTTCGTGGATGCCCTAACTGAATTTAAAAATCTAAAATAAAACTCACCCCATTGCTCAGAAAGCGTTGGGACTAAAGCTTGGAAGAACATGGTTTTATTATTGAGAGTTTTTCGAGAAGTACTGTATGTTAAGCATTGAACAAATTCCCTTTCTCCATATATAGATATAAATATATATAAATATATATTATATTTCTTTATATACACAAACTAAAAAAAAATATAATGGAGTGCACTACCAAACTTTGTCTTCTACTTTGTTATCATTGACTAGTACTGTATCTGAAAGAAAGTGACAGATAAAATGAGGCGTTGCATTATTTTGTATGTGGCAGGAAAGTCCTGAAGCAATGAGATATTTTTTCACTAGAGTACAGAACTAAAACGGGTATTGGCCAGCCCTCACTTTCACTGCCCAACAAGTTGGTTAAGAAGAGGCATTGCCTTGAATTCCAAGGAAGGTTTAAAAATACCTCAAGTAATGACACATTCTAAAATGCATTATTTTTTAAAGTAAATCCCTGTAATTAAATGATGTATTTTTTGTTCTCCCCCAAATATGAGTGTGCTCAGGATTTATGCTATAAAAACACTCGGCCCCTTCTTGTTTTGGGGAACATGCCCTCTTTCTTACCCAGGCCAGAAATGAAGAAGCCAGTGTCTTGTCAAAAAAAAGAAGAAGAAGCTTCATTTTTTTTTTTTTGCAGTATTAGTGAATCACTGAATACCATATATTCTATGGGTATCTTAAATTATAGTTTAGTCTTAGTGGGTTTTATTAAAAAAAATAGGGATTTTCTTGAATTATTTTAACTACATATTTGCTTCTGTTGCTGGGGTGAGAACTACTCTGTATGCAAGGGTGGTTTGTTTGGTTTTTTTCCTGTGTGCTGGTTTGTTAAATGATTACACCAAAAATGTATTTTATGTTCTTTTTTTTTTTTAGCTTCACGTAGAATATATTTTATTTAATAAGTTAATACTTCTTTTGGCACACTATTAAATACAAAACCTTTTTTAAAAAACTACCTTTAATTAGATGTTGGTCTCTCTTTTTTGTCAATGCTCTTTAAATTTCACACTATAGCCCTGATCCAGTGAACTTTCCATGCAATAGCGGGGCTTCTGGCATTCTGCATGAAGACCCCCATCGCCAAACAGAGCATCAAGGAAGTCAACTGCCTGCCTTTTGCAGGTGGTCTCCCCCATCTGCTTGGTGCATACGTGATAACAGGAGTGCACGAACACATCCTAGTGCTGGATGCAGCTTTATTTATGTTTTCCCTCCCCCCCACCCCACACACAGTGCCCTTTTTATGCACATGGGACTGCATCCAGAAGGGTGATAGGCCCATGATAGCCTGCTCTCCATGCGCAGATTGCCACGGTTAGATCAGGGTGCATAATATACAATAAGGTGTACAAGAGTGCCCTGTGTAAATAGACTTATTTTGCATTCCTTTCAGGAGTGTGTGTTGATTCCTGACTGCAGATATCTTAGTTCTTTGGGTATCTGTGCTTGCAATCTTACTGAATGTATGAAGAATGAAACAAATCAAAACCTTATTTTTGTACAGTTTTGAACTTTATACTTGGAGCCTGACCACCTCATCCTAGTGGAGAGTTGTACAGTGTGTAAATCTGCTTTTACCTTGGATTGGTACAGTATTTTTGCATCTGTGGGACCTACTTTTCTGTTCTAGTAGTTTGAACTATATATAAACTGTACAATCTGTAAAGTTTTTATAGAATAAATATTCAGCTGTGAACTGGTTAAAATAAAACTAATATTTCTTAACACCTCTTAAAAGTGCTGCAGTGTTATAGTCATCTTTCTCCTCTACCCTCCCCACCCCCAAGAAATACTTTAATTTCTGGCTTTTCGAGTATTTCAGTCATGCTTTTTTCTCATTCTTGTAACTACTGTTGATTTTCATGAGGCTACACTTTTTAGATACAAATTAAAGGCAAACAAAGAACAGCAGACCAACACTTCAGTCTGTTATACTGCTTAAATGCTCTAGTGTGTTTATAACAGGATTAGCTCTTTCCTTTGCTGTCAAGTGGGAAAGGTTTAGTCTCTGCTTGAAATGGTTCTTGCATTGTCTCTTGGACCAGAGGCTAAAAAAGCACATGATGCTGTTTTGCTTCCAAATTACTAATGTCCTCGTGCAGTTACAAGGATATTTACCATCCATTTTCTGTATTGCAGTGTCTGAACCAGTTTTGGGTTGTCCTCTTGAGCCTATAGTTATGTGGGTGGAAATTACAGCACCAGCTGGCTCTACAGGTGGTTGGATCCAGCCAGCTTTTCACTCAATCTCACCCAATTCCTTCCCTTCCTTTTTTATCAGCAGAAAAGCTGGTTGTATCCAAACCCATATTTTTATCATTGTAAGGCTTTTCTTTATATAAAAAGAACGATACCTCTATCCCACAATGATGCGAACTGACTTTAGGGATGGATATAAAATGGTGAAACCACTATTTTCTTTTTAGCAAGACCGTAAGGCGTAAAAGTCATGGAACTATATCAGTAATCTTTACTTATGTTAAATCTTAATTTATGTTTCTTGAACTTTTCAAACGCAGGCCTCCTCCTACACTCATCAAAATTTGGGTCATTCTCCAACTGTCAACAGAAGTTGGTAGAGGTTCTTATATTCAATGGCGTACATTCACATTGATTTAAGTCCTCAGAGATCTTTAATGATGGATTTGAGGCAAATCCATATACTTAAATCATGACATGGCAAGCCACATTAAAATTCATATCAAAACCCTCAGGCAAATATCAAATCAAAATCAGCTGCCAAAACCCTCTCAAAAATGTAACTGTTGACAGGGAAAGCTATCCTGAACACTTCTGTCTTAAACAACCTTAAGGAGTTTAATAATGTGTAGAAGAAGGTCATTCTCTGGGTGGTCCTGGGCGTGCTACAGTCTAGACTAGTAGAACATATGAACATAAGAGAAGCCAATGTTGGATCAGGCCAATGGCCCATCCAGTCCAACACTCTGTCACACAGTGGCCAAAAATACTAGGTGCCATCAGGAGGTCCACCAGTAAGGCCAGGACACTAGAAGCCCTCCCCCTGTTGCCTCCCCCCCCCCAAGCACCAAGAATACAGAGCATCACTTGCCCCAGACTGACAGTTCCTATCTATACCTTGTGACTAATAGCCACTGATGGACCTCTGCTCCATATTTTTATTCAATTCCCTCTTGAAGCCGTCCATGCTTGTAGCCGCCACCACTTCCTGTGGCAGTGAATTCCATGTGTTAATCACTCTTTGGGTGAAGAAGTACTTCCTTTTATCCGTTCTAACCCGACTGCTCAGCAATTTCATTGAGTGCCCACGCGTTCTTGTATTGTGAGAAAGGGAGAAAAGTACTTCTTTCTCAACCTGCTCTATCCCACGCATAATCTTATAAACCTTGATCATGCCTCCTCCTGGGCACAGGCAGGGTCACAAGTTTCTCTACAACTCCATTAAACCGAGGCTTCTTCTCTGCTTCTTAGTTGGACATTGTGAGTCTTTTATACTGAGCAGTTCCACTCCAGTTTTTTCCCCTACTCAGAACTGTATTGGGGGTGCAAAGGCTTTGACTGGGCCCTAGACCCAGGCAGCACATTAAAGGTGACCTGCCCCAGCCTGGAGTCTCTACTGGGGTGAAACAGCAGGGAGTGAGAGAGGAAGCAGCTGACCCCTTAGGGATGGCTGCAGAGATTGACACTTGAGGTCATCTGCAGAGCTGCAGCTTCACAGACCTTAGGAGAAAGCCCCGTGTGGAAGATGGCTCAGAGGCCAGACTCTTTTTTTTTTTTTTAGCAGTGCCTAAACTCGGCTCCAGATGGAAGTGAAAGGCACGGCTTTGATCAGCAGCAGAGTGAATCAGGCTGAAACCGTCTGCCCTACTTTTCTCACCATCAAAGGGTTGGGTGAGGCTTGCAAGTCACTAAGGAGTTTTGAGCAGGAAAGGGGCTGACCAGTAAGCAGCAAAATGGCCACAAAGGTGGGACTGACTACCTCTCTCTAGGTAGTCACAATACACACAGGCTGGGGATCATTTATCTATTCCTACTAGCCTTTTAGCAGTAAGCCTTTGAACAGAGGAGGGGGGAAGTTAACCATGGGTGGGACAACAGGAGTTTTGGCTAGGCATTCTGTAATCTTGACAAACAAGAGGGGCTAGGGCTGTGGTTCTGTACCACACATGTCTGTGCAGAACAGTGGAGGAGGCTGTGGATCTGGCTGAATTCAGCTATGTGTCTGGCCGTGTTGCTCTTCTACTTAGCCTAAGAGCCTTCCTTTGTGGCAACCTAGTGAGGTGTTTCTTGTCCTCAGGGATAAGGTCACGGTATGGGTCTGCCTTCTCCCAGAGGAAAAGTTAATGTCTTCCCAGTATTGCTTCATAACTGCTAGTATAGAAGGCCAATCCTGACAAGGCACAGACCTTCCTGCCCAAAATATCTAGCTTTTTGCCCTCTTTCTCAGTTGGAGCCAAATTAGCGGAGCCCTTTTCGGCACCTTTCCCCTGCAATGTTTCAGTGACCTAGAGGTTACAAAAGGATGGGTGAGAAGTTACCATAACACTGAGAGATCAAACAAAGTGAAAGTGGCATGCAGTCTGGACGCTGCCATAAAATCCGACAATCAATCAAAGTGAAAGTGGCATGCAATGTAGAGGGGAATTTCTCTTCCAGTGTGGGCTTGGTAAAACAATGGAGCAAATGCTAGATGCAGATTGGTTTTATGGAACTGTGCATAGATTTATGGCTGTTCAGGGGTGACTGCAGTCAGTATGGCATTGGCCTGGGGGATTTGAATGTGGTTTTGAGCCGCATCTTTTTCTGTTCCAGTGTGGGTTTGGTAAAACAACGGAGCAAATGCTAGATGCAGACTGGGCCCTGGAGTGGCATTGTCTAGATGTCAAATAGGCCCTTTGCTTCTATTTATCTAGGACTGAAGGTTTCTGTAAATTGGAAGCAATGTTTGTTTCCTTTCAGGGGTCCTCCTTGGGAACAAAAAGTATCCAT